ATGGCATCTGTGTGATATTTTAATACTTGTTTCTATTCCTTTTTATTGATTGTCAATGTGCAATGTCTTGATAGATAATATTTCCGTCTATAGTTTCTTATCACTTTTTAGTGTAATTTAAGAGAAACGACAATCTATATTTAATACTCTCTCCGTCCCATTTATATTGTCCCGTTTTATCTTTTCGGGAAGTCCCACTTAAATTGTCTCATACCATATTTGGCAAAGTTTGTGTGGCTCTAAATCATTTTTACTTTATTCTTACTTTATCAATTAATATCCACACAAACCCACTTTTCATAATAACTGTGCCACCCTCTTCCGTCCCAATATAAATGGGACGGAGGTAGTAAGAAACTGAAAACGTAAAACTAGTTGGTTGTGGGGGTGGAGCTCGTGGAGGCTAGGAATTATCCCCTATGATATCCCTTAATCAAAATCCCTGCTCAGGAACTTCCCTTCCTTCCTCTCTTATTAAAAGGGCTAATGTTGGATTTTCATGTTGGGTTAGTGTGTTTAAAGGTAGAAGTGTATTTTTTAAAGGGAGAATGGAAACTAATAATCCAACCTTTTAGTAGTCTTCTTACAATAGTCCCACCTTTCCGTTATTCAAGAATAATCCAGCTTTTGCACCCCATCTTCATTTGCTGGTCTCTGACCGGGTCATGACCCGTTATTCCAAGTTATTTTCTTATCTTTGCAAAATATTATCTTGTGAAAGGTGAAATTTATGGTATAATGGTTTGCAAAGATAATAAAATAACTTGGAATAGCAGGTCATCAAGACCAGTGAACGAAGATGAGGTGCAAATGTTGGATTATTCATGAATAACGAAAAAGTGAGACTATTGTAAGAATACCGTTGAAAGGTTGGATTATTAGTTTCCATTTTCCCTTTTTTAAAAGTTAAAAAGAAGACATCATTTTAAATGAAGATCAATTATTTGTTGCTCGGAGTGGTCATTCTTTGTTGGTTTAAAATCTCTTTGAGAGTTGTTCAATGGAAGCAACATTAAGATTGAAATCATCAGGAAGCCGAGTGTGAAGTGAGGTTATAATTTTATTGCTAATTTTCCCAATTTACCTTTGTTCTTGGATAACATCATCTACTTTGTATTGATTTAATAATTTTTCTTTAAATGGTGTATTCTGTACCTCTGGCCATGGCTGTAAACTCTCCATGATTAATATGCTATTAGTTTTGAAGTTATATGTGAGTTGCATTACGTCACTCTTATGCCAATTTCACAAAAAAGGAGGTGGACGCTATTGTGGACCTATGGTGATATGTTCTTCCAAGACACACAAAGAATATCATAGAGTTAATCATAACAGACTCGGAGTTGTGTTGTAAAAAAATTTGACTCTGCATAAATCAGTTCAACAAACTGTTAATTTCTTACTTATTTCATTCTAGAAATAATTACATATTTATGACTAAAATGAAGACTATTTACAAAAATGTGATTAGTGACTAGAGTAGTAATGAAATCACAGTAACTTATGTTCAATTTTTAAACTTAAGTTACTATGACACTACATTGTAGTAATTGATAATCATATTTTTGTAAATAAGTTTTATTTTAGTAATATTTTTGTAAAAAGCCCTTCATTCTAAATAAAAATATTTTTATTATTTTCATGTTTTTAATATAGATAAAAAAAATATGATTTTCTTATTACATAGGAAGTTCTGTCCAGCCGTCGCCATTTGGGACGGTTCCAGGTGGAATTTTTTGATGATTTTTTTGAGAATCTTCTTCATTAAGTCTAGTTTACCCATACCAAATTTCAGCTAAACATAAAACTGGGAAGGCAGTCAAATGATTTTCTGAAATATAATGCGCTCTTTAACTGTGCAGTTATCTTCAAAAATTTATTTGATTGCCTTCCCGATTGAAATTTTAGCTGAAATTTGGTATGAGTAAACTAGACTTAATGAAGAAGATGCTCAAAAATGTTTATCAAAACATTCCACCGGGAACCTCCCCAAATAGCGACGGCCGGACAGAACCTCCAAAATAAGGGGTGATATGCATTTTTTTATTAGTTCGAGGGCTTATTTGCCCTCTTTCCCTTATGGTAATTAAGGGTAGATTAGAAAGAGAGTATACTTTACTCTCTTTTATCCATTTTTTTGAAGTTTTCAGTTCCAGTCTAATTCATATCCGAAATATTTAGTTCCGGATCGATTGTATTTTTTTCTTGGGAGGCTAGAAATCGGTGTATTGATACTTTAACTGGCTGAGCTGGTTTCTTAAACAAGTTATGATCCTTTGATAATCACTACATATTTCCTCTAATATTTTAGACTTATTTTGATATTTGATCCTTTGAAGTTGGTGTGGTTCCTACCATCCTAGGCCTCCTAAGCACCTATTAAATCTTGAACTGCTGTCTTTCCTTGGGGCGGGGCTGGAAACTGGTGTAATGACTCTTTAACTGGATGAGCTTTTTATCTTAAACAAGAAGTTTTGATCCTTTGATATTCACTACATGTTTCCTCTAATATTTTAGACTCATTATATTCGACTCTTTGAAGTTAAATTAGTGTGGTTGCTATCATCATAGGCCTCCTGAGTACCCCTTTTTTAATCAATGTTTAGGTGTCAACTTTTAGATTTTGTGATTTCAAATTAGAGGTCATCATTAATTAGCACATGTATTTTTTGGAGACATATTAGCATTATCATATACTTATAAAACTATTAAGTAATCTTTCACTTGCCTCATTAATTATATATCTTTATATATCAATAAGTACCAAGTATTTTTTTATACATACACATACTGATATTTTCTCACCTTTCTTTCCATCCACCAATATATTTTACTCTTACTTTCCTAGCTATAATATCCATGACTAGCGGTTTAAAAAACAACTAAAAGAGGTAAGTAATTGATTGTGTCCAGTCGACAAGCTGTCTTTAACTCTTTAAATGAGATTAGGATATGTTATATACAGTAAACTGATTTGTCATAGCTCCAGTCCCGAGTCAACAGACTCAATATCTTGGGGGTAAAAGGAGAATATATACACAAAAAGATACTTACAGAAATTTGATCAACAAAGAAATGGATTGCCCCATGTATGTTTCCAACTGTGTCCAACTACCTATAGGTACTGTTATAAATCATGTATCCTACAAATTCTTTAGACACATTGTATCAACATCTTTTGCATTACTTGATTCTGTAGACTGGAAAAGACTAATGTCATCTTTTCGCATAGCAAAATAGCAAAGAATTAATTCAAGGAAGTGTTGAAATGGTAGTTCAGAAAACCAAATAGTATTTGGGAAAATTAATCCTTAGATCACAAGCTTAGACTGCTTTGTGAAGCATGAATGAGAAGTAAGATATTGGAGAATGAGATTACACTAAATAGCTGAAAGGCAAATGTATGCAACAAGAATGTGCAGTCAGAATAGGATTATAGATTTTGTAGTCAAAAGTAATGAACACTACAATACTTGTAGGTTTTACACTAAAGTATTGGGTGGTAGAGCTGAATTTGAATACACAAAGGAGACATGAGTTAACAAGGGTTAAGTCAGGCTGGTGAATGGAACTAAAGATGTAATGAGCTGCTAGATTGGGTTTTAGTTTTTGAATATCTTAGTTTTGAGTACTATTCATATTTGTGGGTTAAGACATGAATGTTGTTGTATATATTGTTGTAGACGATATAATTTTATCATTGAATGGTAAGTCACAATATCCAATATGCAACACAATTTAGGTAATATATTTTCTTGCGGTGAAAATTTTGGAACAATGTCAGTTTTGAAGATAAACCTGGCTTTGATGATCATGTACTTAGTCAATTGTCATTATGAATGTAATATAAACTTTAGATAAAGAAAGATGTATTATTTATGTAAGCGAAGCATTTTACGTGCTACATTTAATTATTTTGTACTTTGTGACCTCCATTTTTGCTTCAATTTTTTATTGCAGGCTCTAAAACACAACATTCAGTGACCAAGGCCCAATTGTCGAATGTAGAAAACCATCTCACTTCCAGACTAAACAAACAAAAAACTATCCCGATTGTTGTATCATATGAGATCATTGCCCAAAAACATCTAAGTACTTAGTTCATTTATTTTGTAATAAAAACTTATGATGCCGTGGCTGAAGATATTGAAATAAACAACAGATCGAAACATGTTGTATGCAGTATTGGGCATTTTAGTATTCACGCAACGCGCGTGTTAGAAACTAGTACATGTAATAGAGGATAATGTAGGACGCAGAAAAATTGGATTATTTGAAGATGATGGTTGAGAGACATAAACGAATTTTGAGATTATTTAAAAATTAATTACATAACAATATTTAAAATGTAAGAACCATAGAAAAAAATGATTATTAGAGATCATGAATGATGATGTTCTTAGTCCGTAGACCAAGTCCAAGAAAAACAGTGAAACAACTATCTACCCGTGAATTTAGAGTATGTTTGATAACCCAAATTTTATTTGAGTTGACAGATTCTGCTGAAATTTATGATGTACTGATTGAAGTGACTCAATCGGATAATTCATTAAAAAATTATATTTAACTTATATTTTATTAATATAATAAAGCAAATATGATACAAAAATAGTTAAAATGATCTTCTCATTAATTTGAGCCAATTAAATAAAACATAACTTTAATTTTACTCATTTTATTTTAATTACAAGTATTATACTCCCTCCGTATTTTTTGTTTGCTACACTTTCCTTTTCGGGACGTGTTTAAAAGTTTGCTACACTTTCATTTTTGGTAAGTTTAACTTTTATAAAATACTCAATTACACTTACTTTTTCTACTTTTAATCTTCTCTTTCATACTTTTACACTCTCTCTCTTACTTTTTCTATACTATTCATTACCCATCCTCTTTTACTTCTTAAATAATGTGCCAAACTTAATGTAGTGAATAAAAAAATTATGGAGGGAGTACAATACAATTAACTTTAACTTAAAATAAAAGTTGGTCAAATTTTAAAAAATTGATTGATGCCCAGCAGCCGAACAGGGTCACCAACGACAACGACGCATCCTGCATCCGCCCAATCGAAAGACGACTCCTCAGACGACAAACCCTTCGACCTTCGTCAATCTCCGCCGAGTCGCCGACCAGGCGACCACCGTCTGTCCGTCTAGGGCCGCCAACGCAGCACTGCACGTCTGCACCACGACCAGGCTACCACTCTACTCAGACGTTATTTTTTGCTGAAGCCTGAAGCAGTGAGCCTGTGAAGCAGGTAAGTTTATCTTTTTTAAATGATATATTATTAATTTTCTCAATTTTTTAAAGTATTATTTACTCCTTAATCTTTTTCGTTATTATGTGATATTGTGATTTGTGAATTTGTGATTGAGCTGCTGATTTTAATTATTTATTAGGGCCATTAGGGCTTAGACCTACTAATCTATGATGAAAAATAACAAAAAAGTTTGTTATTTTTTATTTCGTGTAATTAATTGATGAATTAATTACACTATTTATATTTGATAAATTCGTATTAGTATGTTACCGAGTATTAATTGTTAGGTTGTTATTTTAAAGTCCTTATTTCAAAATTAAATTAACTTTTAACTTAAATTTGTACACATGTACACATTATTTGTACTTTATTACTATTCTAATTGCCTTGGAAAGGAAGGCCTGATTTTTTTATTGCACATGTCTCCATTTTTTCAGGACTGAACCTGGGTTAACGTAATCCCAAAGAAGAGTGCCAGAATGCAATTTTCCTGGGTTTCATAGCATATAGTTTGTGAGTGAAGTTGCTGTAGTTTGGAAACCATTGGGATGGCCGATAAGAAAGCGCTGTTCCGGGCTAAATTGGCAAAGAGGAACGAGAAGCGTATTGAGAATCCTCTTGTGAGGTAATGAAACAATCCTTTTAAGCCACAAAATTATACGGGTAGAAAGAAAAAAGTGAACTTCTTGAACTCAGTGATTATTGATCAGTGTATAAAATAATGCATGTTGGTTTTAGATTATTAGGAATAATTCGTAGGCAGTGCTTGCGCGTTTGAAAAACAGACTTGATGATTGCAGAAGGGACCAGAGTTCCTAATTAATTTATTCAGGGAATTTACTTCTGCAATGCTTTTTCTGGAACATAAGTAGCTGCCAGCATCGTGTTTTGGGGAGAAGCTAAAACTGCTTATTGTTGCTATCACTTAAAAAGAAAAAAATAAGTTGACGGATCAGAACATGTAGAATTAGTCATACTAAAAGTGCTTCAAACTTTCATTATAGTATTGTTCCATTTAACCAACCCCCGTTGCTTTTGAAGGGGTAGGGGGTGGGGGTAGGATGGCGGTAAGGGTGGGGGTAGTGGGTAGGGTTGGGGTTAGGGTAAGGTAGGGGTAGTGGGATAGGATGGGGATAGGGTGGGCCCGGGATCTAGGTGGGGCCGAGGTAGGAGAAGGGTAGGGGGGTAGGATGGTGGTAGGATGGCGGTATGAGGGTGGGGGTAGGATGGCGGTGGGGTGGGGCCGAGGTAGGGACATGTGGTAAGGGCTAAGGGGTAATATACGGGTGGGGGTAGGTTAGGGTGGGTCGGGGTGGGGTCGAGGTGGTAGGGGTGGCGGTAGGGTAGGGTGGATCGGGGTGGGGTAGGGTCATTATAAGGAAAAATGGGTATGCGGGTTGGGGTTGGGTGGGTAAGGTAGGGTAGGGGTAAGGGGTAAGGTACGATGATGGAGGTACCGGAATGGAATCGACATCGGAGTGGGACCGGACCCACCACTAGGTGTAAGTATGCAAATTCATTGAAGCGGCACTGTAGCATCTGCGTTTTCCAAATTTGGAAAACTAGTAAAAGTCACTTCTCCAAATCATTAAGAAAAAGAGAAACATGTCTCATTTTTTCCGTTTTGGAAAACGATTTGGTAAACACGTTTTTCTTTTTTCCTTTCTCCAGTTTTCCAGGAATTTCTTTGGTAAACATGTTTCCTGTTTTCTGTTTTCCAGTTTTCCAGTTTTCTGGAAAACTGGAAAATATCTCTGTTAGTAAACAGGCCCTAAGTTTTTATCTATTGTAACCAACCTTCTTCCTGAAATGAACAACATTCATATTTCTTAAATGTAGTACTCAATGTAGAGTTGTAGATTAAAGCTTATGAGTTTCTTTCTAAATTTTAATCATACCCTCTTTTAAATACAGGTACAATGAGCATGATCAACCTGTCTGTAGAGTTTGTGACGTTCTTCTGAAATCTGAGACAGACTGGACTGTTCACCAAGCATCTCGTAAACATAATACGGTAGGGTTTTTCCTGTATTTATTTATATGAATTTCAATACGTTGATCTCTAACATTTGACATATCTATTTTTTTTGGTATTAAGATTACTATGCAAAACAATATAATACTCTTGGCTTCTGCTTCAATGAATTCCATGTCAATGCAATCGATTATTTCTGAGCTTGACAGTCAATAAATGCAGTTGAGCACTTGAGCTTTTATAGTCTTTTGCGAAGTTTATAATTTTGGTGTTATTTTTTTTGGGATTCAAGCAAAACTCTAAAAGGTGGGTGGTATTCAATTAAAACTTTTGATGAATCATTAGAACTCCATTAATATTTAAGATGTCATTGTCTTTTTAGACCATTCCAAATTGGGACTTTTGTAGAATATTATTACAATTTAACCTGCCATACATATTTCCCAATTCTGTAGAAGTACCAGGGTTGTAATTTTTTTGTTTTTCCAATAGAACAAATATAAAATGTGTAGTAAAGAAGTTGATTTTTGTGCTCTATGGAAACAACCCCTTTAAAAAGGTCTGCCAAAAAAGCATCACAAATGACGATATTTGTCTGATGTTTTCTTCTTCACATAAAGCCTCTTCACTTCCATCATTTCTAATGGAGCCAAAGATTCACTATTTTTGGCTTGGGAATATGATGGAATAAAGAAAATTGGCTCTATAAACTTTCTACGCTTCTTTTTTTTATGAATTAACAATCAGTCCGTGCAATTTTCGACACGATTTTCATCATGGGTCATCTGGAAATAGTCTCTCTGTAGTCTGTACTTCAGTACAAGGGTAAGACTGCGTACATCCAACCCCCTTACCCCACCACTGGGGTAATGTTGTTGTATAAGGACTCTTCACTTCTTCAGTTGATGTTCCTATCTTCTTGAGCTTTAGTGCACACCTTTGTACTTTATGTCATATTAGTTTGGATCTTGATTTAACTTTTTTATGCATGTGTAGGCAATCAATAATCTCAAAGCCAAATCTACCACACTAAAGCGAACTAACAATGTGAATACTGAGCTTCCTAAAGACTCACATAGGGTTAAACCTGAGAATCATGACGAGTTTCTTAATAAAGGAGTTGAAGTTTCTACAGGGCTGTCCAAACCTCGACAGGCATCTTCCCTTCCTCCCAACTTTTTTGATAGCAAGGAAACAAAGAAACAAAAAAGTGGTAAGTTTTTATTGATAGAATCTGGATTCATGATGAAGCATTTTTTTCTACATTTGGTCTGGTAGTAAACAATTAGAGTGTATAAACCTATCTCTTCGCGTTGGTGTTTTTGAAAAATTAAACTACTTAACCTACTTTACAAGGTTCAAGACACCAGGTAAATGAGAAGTAGTTAGGTATGTGGCACGTTCTTTTTAGAAGTAAAAAAAGGCTTTGATACTTTTCATCCTGTTTGTCACATGCTTGATGCACCATTTGTTTTTTGGTGCATTTTATTGCATAGCTCATCCATTCAGTGACATTCTTTCAGCACACATAATGTTTGTGATACATTTTATTTCTTGATAGTCTTTTTACTTTAAAGCAAAGCCTATTAAATGAATAATTATCAAGTAAAACTATAAAAGCATTATTTCCTTGAAATGAAAAATTATCACTCCTTTTTCTTTCCTTCCAAAACCTCCCTCCCAAACTTACCCTAAGTTTCTGGTGAATTGTATTCCTAAGCAGTAATTTCATTTACTGTAAGGCAAAGCCTTATTAGTTATTTGTTTAAATGGTTAATGGTTTAAGCATGAATCTTATTTTGTTGATGAATCAGATCATATTGAATCAAGAGGCCATGGCACACAAAATACTGAAGCCATTGCTCAAGCTAAAGAATCATTGCCACCTATTCCAAGGGGCAAGGTGGAAATAAACAATGTAAACATTGATGAAAAAAATTCTGAATCTGGGCTGTCCAAGGAACACATATCAAAGCAGACTCTTGGCTCTGAAACTAGGAAGGCCAAAGGACTTATACCTGAAGGATTTTATGATAATAAAGATGCTGATTTGCGTGCACGTGGTATTACACCAGTCAAACCTGATGTCAAGTAAGAGCGCTAGCTTGTTTTACCTTGTATTTTGATTGTTCTCTTGCCCTTATCAAGTGCTCACATTTTCACGTGGAAATCTTGGTTACTTATAATATGATGTATATAATGCCATATAATACCCCATAAAGTGTGGAAATGCTCTTTGTTATCTCCTTTTTGGGGGTATCCTGGAGGATTTGTTGTAAAATGTAGTGAACTTAGAGGTGAAAGTGAAAGGTTTTGAACTTTGCTCCCCCCCTCCCCAAAAAAAAAGAAAAAAAGAAAAAAAGAATCTTAGTGCTGTCATGCCTAGCATATCTGCAACTATAAAGATTTTTTCAATATTAGAGTCCTTAGGATCCCTCTATGCACACTTAAAATACTAGTCTCAGGTTGCAGAAACTATGATGTTGTCTGAAAGGTGAATTGTGGACAGGGATGAGTACAAGGAGTTTGAGAAGTTGATCCAGGAGGACTTACAGGAGGTTGACAAACGCTTAGAGGAAGAGGAGGTTGGTAACTTTGTAAACAATTTTATAAGTTGTATGATTTTTGTCATTTACCAGACATGATTTATTACCTTTTTCATTCATTTTGATGTTCTATCTTGTAGTATGATGCAGCTGATATGATAGAAGAGGAAGAGACTGTGGAACAAAGGTAAGCAGCATTCAATTGGGTGATAATTACTTGGCCTTTATTTTGTGCAAGCTTCTTCACTTTGTGTGGTATGTTATTTCTAACTTCAGGGCCTACAGAGAAAGGGTGGAGATGTTGAAGAAGAAAAAGATGGAACTTAAGGCTCGCAAGTCTACCATCCGTAGCAAAGCTACTCCTCCGATCACTAAGGAAGAGTCTAGTAGTGATGAAGAGTCTTTAAGTGATGATAGCAATGAAAACTTAACAGTTGATTGGAGAGCTAAACATCTGTGAAATCCATTTTTGTATACTTGGTAGTAATGGCACTTCCTCTTCACCATCCCTTCAGCTCTGTTCTTTCATAACAGGTCGCTTTTAATTTCAAAATGTGTTCTAATCCAACTTCATTAGTATTCTGGTTGCAGATTTTGGAGTTGACTGAACCGTTAATGAGGTAAAGTTCAACAGAAACGGAACCCTGGCAGATTTAATTGTTTTGTGACACCGTGACATCCATTGAGGGACAATACCGATCTACCAAACAGGCAAACATTATTTTAATTTTAGAAATTTGAAATGAAATGTTTCGAAACAAACCCTTAGCTAATACGTAGTAGTATGGAGTATTAGTTTGTATAATTGTAGCTTTGTGGTTGGAGTTGTGCAAAGCGTCTGTTATGCAATCTGATCTGCTATTCTCTTTGTACTGTTTCCGACTTGGCAAAATATATTGTGCACCATCTTGTACAGCTGGATAAATTTCTTGTGTGGGTTAAATCACATGAAGTTATTTAATGATTTAAAACTTGGACTAATAAAATAGAACTCAAATGTACATGTACATTGTTGTGTACTTTGAGAACAGTCTATACACCAAAATCTTCGCGGCTGTAATCTTGTACTTTGCCTATCAATCTGGGATCCCACAAATGATGAGTTGTGTTCCATAAAGAGCCTCTTAAAAGTCATTCTTGGTTGGAAAGAGTTATGTGCACGAATACAAACACAGAGATACGATGATACTCGAAAACGGACATGTCAAAACACCACTCCATTAAAACATAGGATGCATGTGCACATTGATAGGGCGGAGTTAAGGAGTGTTTGGGATTGCTTTAAAAAAGCGTTTTTTAGCTTTTGGTTTAAAAAAAGTTGAAAAGAGTGTTTTCAAATGACAGCTTCTACTTATATTAATCACTTAAAAGCTAAAAGTTGGAATCCGGTAGAAGGGTGCTTTCGGGTCTGTTTGTAATAGCTTCTGCTTTTAAAAAAGTACTTTTTTTAATGAAATGAGGAGAAGTGATTAAAAAAAAGTTGATAGTGTTTGAGAAAAAAGTGATTTTGAAAAGTAAAAGTGGGTAGTGTTTGGTAAAATAAGTGCTTTTTGTGTATAGAAAAAGTAAAAGCACTTTTCACGCGGAAGCCGAGAAAAATAAAAGTTGTAGTGTTTGAGAAAATAAGTGCTCTTTTAAAGCCAAAAGCTGAGAAGTGCTTTTTAAAAACAGTTGCAAACTAACCCTTAAACTGCTTCTCACTTTTTCTATTACACAAAAAGTACTTATTTTATCAAACACTGCTAACTTTTACTTTTTCAGAATCACTTTTTTTCTCAAACACTATCAACTTTTACTATTAATCATTTTTCCCAAAATCACTTTAAAAAACCACTTTTTTAAAGTTGAAGCAATTGCAAACACTCCCTTAGGGCACTAGACCGGTACATAAAAAAATAGATATTTTTTAAATTTGGGGTGGGTTGGGGCCTAGGTTGGTCCCTCCTTAGCTATGCCCCTAAGCGGATATAATTGTGTCACTGGCTGAGCATAGGCGGTGGAGTCACTGTTGCCTAAGTAATTGTGTCGCCCGGGTAACTAGTGCACCAGAGATCACTATATATCACTGTGTTAGTGGGTGTAACCATCAATGTAGGTGGGTAATGGTGGTCGTCGGTGGCGGTTCATCAAGGCGGTTGGTAAACTGAAAGAATACGTCACATTGTCACTCATGGATGTTGACTGTGGCATCAAAGTCATTGTTCTTGCGGTGTAATTGTCACTGTAGTGACAGTGTCCCTGTAGAGGTTGTGCCAGTGGGATACTGGGATGGGTCACTAGCAGTACGCCACTAGAGTTGTCAAGTATAGGCCATTAGATACGAGAGGGGGCTTCAATACTACTACACATGTTGACATTTCTATATTTAGGAAGTATTTAGTCATTTTTTGAAAATATAAAATAAGTCTCCTTTTGTCTATACCTCACTTATCAGTAAAAGTCATATCATGAGTCATGATCCGATTAATATTAATAATATGAATAGAAACTTATAGAATCAAGTGAATGCAATGAAATACACAGTTGTTATACTGTAATAGCAACCCAAGGTGAGCATTGTACTCCTACAGCTAAAACACACACGAACATAACACGTGTGGGGAATATTTTTCAGCAGTAGAGTGATGTAATCCGCGTTTAAAGAAATGTAACTCACGTTGTTGAGAAATCTAATTGGAGGCAAGTCAAAATGTAAATTGTAAAATATGGTGTCTAAGAAATAAAACATTGTTTTAAATGTAAACAATGAAAAAAGAGTCTAATTAATATCAACGCTATAAAAAATGATTAAAAACGAATCATTTTTTGGTTTTAATGGCAGGAGTGTATTTTGTGACGTAACTTGTATTATGATAAATGTAAATCGTGTGGATGAAAAATGTAACTTACATGTATGAAAAATGTAACTTGTTGAGTCAAGTTTAAATGTAACTCGCGTATAACAAGTTGTAATTCGCGCATATGAAGATGTAAGTTGCGCATAAGAAGATTCAACTCACGCACATGGAGATATAAACCATGCATAAGAAGATGTAAATCGCGTGCACCAAGCTGTAAATCACACATAAGATGATAAGAAGATGTAACTCGCGCACTTGAAGATGTAAACTGCGTAAAAGAAGATGGAAACTGTCAAATTCGTCCTCAAAGATGTAACTCTTTGGTCAAACCGCGTAAAAATTGACACGTGTATGCCGTGTGTATCAAGTGACCGGCTAACCGGAAACAAACCTGTTAAATTATAATTTTGAATATTTTGGTATAGTTCATGGGCTTAATTGAGTGTTTATTTAGTTCCGGGGCTTACTTGACTTTTTTGATATACTTCAGGGACGAATTTGACAGTTTTCCCAAGAAGATGTAACAACATATATTATGAAATGTAAATTCGAGAATCGAAATAAATAAACTCAATATCTAAAAAAACATCTAAAAGTATATAAAACAGATAAAAATATATTATAGAAACAAGTGTGTGAATATAAAAAATATATTACAAAAAAGTGTATGAATAAAACAATATAATAGAAATAAAGAAAATAAAGAAGAATAAACCATATAATGATGACACTGGTAATTTGCGTTTTAATCCCTAGTTCAAAGTCCAAACTGGTCACCACGCCACGTCAGCATAATTGTCAGTTTCAAGTCGCCGCGCCTCTGCGAGAATCTCAACTCTTAATTGGCCGTCAACGGTCAAACCTCATGGCGCATCTTGCCCCTATTCACCCCTCAAATGGCTAAAACCCCGAGGGCATTTCTGTCAAATCAAGCCCAAAACCTCCAGTTAGGGCGCCAAATAGCAACCACCACCACTGAAATCTTCAGCTCGCGATAACGACCTCTGAAACTGAATCCATCTTCTCCATCTCTCTCTAGCATGTGAAGAAAAAGATTCGAAAAGCTGTAATAATCATGAAGTCCAAGAAAACGTCACCGCCGATTCTGGAAGCTCACAAGAAACCGAAGAAGGCGCCCAAGTTCTTCGGCCTCGCCACATTTGCGGACCCGGGTTGCCCCATTTCCCCCACCGGCCCGTTTTTCGAGAACGTCCGGTTCTTCCTCCAGCAATGCGCCGAGCTTGAGGACTATGAGGTTGAAGGAATGCCCGTCTGGGTCACCTTTCTGGTCCACGAAAGCAGAGGATTCGCAGCTCCTCTTTACACCATTGAGGAGGCTGTCCAGAGCTCGGCGGCGCACCAAGTCTGCAACCACTGCAGATATGCCGGTAAATCTAGATATACTTGGTTTTAACTTTAAATTTCTAGGGTTTCGCTGTTTTTGGTTCGTTGGGGTGAATCTAGGGTTAACGGAGATTTGGGAATGATTTCAGGATGGGGACACCATTTAGTCTCGAAGAGGAATTATCATTTTATAATTCCCGCTGATGACGACTGGAATCAGCCACTGACGGAAGGGTTCCTTGATCTGCAAACCCATCTTCTTCATGGGATGATTCACTGCAACGGGTTTGGTCACTTGCTCTGCATTAATGGAATTGAAGGCGGATCGAAATATATTTGTGGGAAAGATATAATGGACCTCTGGGATCGTATCTGTTCCAATCTCCAAGCTCGGTAAGCCAAAACATCACACTTACTCTATGAGTTAAGATAATATTGAATTGTGAAATTGGTCTTTGCCTGATGAATTTATGGAATTATTTTTCATGATTAACAGAAGTATTTCAGTTGAGGATCTATCTAAGAAGCACTCAATGGATTTGAGATTACTCTATGGGGTAGCATACGGCCACTCATGGTTTGGGAGATGGGGTTACAGATATGGGCATGGATGCTTCGGAGTGATGGAACATGACTATGAAAGAGCTCTACAAATCCTCAGCTCATTAGACCTTGATCAGGTCATTGACAATTTCAGTCAATCCACCTGTGCATTTGAGATCAGCCAAACAATCCTCTTTTACAGAAACCTAAGCAATGCTCATCATCTCCACACCCTCCGGGATCTATTCAGATTCATGATCTCTCTGAAGTTAAAGCTACCTCTAGGAGCACCATTTCTTCGACCCTGTTCTTCGAAACGTTTGGTTAGGACTACCATTCAGTGTAAGCCTCCAGGAAAGAAGGACAGATCAGCAAGGTGCAGAAAGTTTGCCAGCCTTGCAGCCTGCATGGACAGCAGGTGGCCTATTAGAAGGCTTGAATTCACTGCCAATGTGATCGTCGATGCCTTGAGGGAGAAGAAACTAGAATCCAAATCTGGGATGACTAGGCAAGAGGTAAGGGATGCTGCACGGGCCCACATTGGGGATACCGGGTTGATCGATCACGTCCTGAAGTCCATGAACAATGTGATCGTGGGCAGTTATGTGGTCCGCCGTGCAGTTAATAAAGCAACAAGGGTATTGGAGTACACAATTCAAGAGCTCAATGATGGAGTTAAAGCATCGGAGCATTCTTCCATTGCAGGAAGTGATGTTTTTGAAGATCTTTACTGTCTATACACTAATGTGCTATTGGTGTACCACAAAGAATCTCAAACTGTGCTTGACACGAAGCATTTTGTGAAGGAGTGGCCATTCAGGGATGAGCTTGATGACTTGCTCAGGTTCATCTGTGTGGTAATAATCCCAATCTCGACTGAAATGGAAACAGTCATCCCTAAAGAGCACGTTGTGGTCCCACTTCACTCAACAATTGGTGATCTGAAACTGGCCGTGCAGGCGGCAATGAGGGGAACTTATTGTGGCATGGAGGGGTTCGTGGTGAGTGACATAAAGGGGTTGGAAGGAGTTCGGGATGATGAGGTCATTTTCGGGATTGTCGAGTCGGGGACTGAGATTTTAGTGACAGGGGTTGGGTTGGATTCGGAGAGCGACAGTATGAAGTGGACAGTGGATTGCAGGTGTGGGGCCAGGGACGATGATGGGGAAAGGATGATGTCATGTGACATGTGTGAGATATGGCAGCACACTAGGTGTCTAGGGATTAAGGATGACATGGCGGTGCCACCACTGTTCGTGTGTGAGGCTTGTTGTGGCAGGCTTGTCCCGCCTGCCCCGCCAGCTGGATTTGGTGGGGGAGGATTCATGGAGCTTGTTGGGTGCCACGAGAGTGCTGCCCTTATCCCTTGGCTACTAGAGCCTGATACTTCACTCTATTTCTGAAGTAGTGGTTAGGCATGTTCAGATATGGTGATGTAAATCAGTCACCTGGTTTTTTTGCTTGTATAGAATTCGTTGTTAGTCCTTTCTTTCGTTTTTTTGTGTGTGGCAATCTGTTCTGTTGTGGATAGATCAATCATGTAAAGAGAATTGCTTATGGATGGAAACAGAATTGCGACTTTGGTTGTAAACTTGGATGCATTTGGTGAAGTAACTGAAGTTGAATGCAATTGGCAAAGAGCGTAGTATACTCCCTATAATCTTCAACTGTATTGGCAATAAGTTTAGTCAAGTTTCATGTACAACTTTCGCTTCTTCACAAAATATATCTTCAATTTTCAATTTATTTTTTTGGAATCATATATAATATGATGCAAAAGCAAAATAAATTTAGTCTAAATATAGAGTTCGTTTGATAATACTAAAATTGGTGAAATCGGCTTATTTTACTAAAACTGATTAAATTCTGACTGAATGGATTGAATAGGTAGAATACCCTGAATTATAAAAAAAAAATACTCCATTTGTGAAATAAAGAAAAAATTATATGAAAAATATTTAAATGTTCTTCCACATTAGCATCTCAACTAATCATAATTGTTGTGAACCCGATTTTAAAGAATTCACATAGAAGCTTCTTCATTAATCTCACGCCCTCTAAATTACTTTATTAAGCACCTCAAAATATATTCTTTCATATTCCTCATTCAACTTGATATGAAATATGGAGTACATACGATTTACCCATTATTAAAATGTACAAAAAATGGAGTATTTTTAATTTGTGACATTGAAAACGATTTTTAATTGTTATGAACGCCTGGAGTACTTTATTGAGCATTCCAAAATAATATTTTTTTAATATTTCTCATTCAACTTGGTATGATATACGAAGTACATGTTTTTAAATTTTAATAGTAAAATCTAACATTTTACTCATTATTTCGTCACATTAAAAACTCCATTAACAAGGATGCTTTTAGTTGAATTAAAATTTATGGGTTTGATTTGGTTGGAAGTAATAGGATCTGGTAGATGTCTGTTTTACATTTTATGTGTTTTATTATTATTATTATTATTATTATTATTATTATTATTATTATTATTATTATTATTATTATTATTATTATTATTATTATTATTATTATTATTATTATTATTATTATTATTATTATTATTATTATTATTATTATTATTATTATTATTATTATTATTATTATTATTATTATTATTATTATTATTATTATTATTATTATTATTATTATTATTATTATTATTATTATTATTATTATTATTATTATTATTATTATTATTATTATTATTATTATTATTATTATTATTATTATTATTATTATTATTATTATTATTATTATTATTATTATTATTATTATTATTATTATTATTATTATTATTATTATTATTATTATTATTATTATTATTATTATTATTATTATTATTATTATTATTATTATTATTATTATTATTATTATTATTATTATTATTATTATTATTATTATTATTATTATTATTATTATTATTATTATTATTATTATTATTATTATTATTATTATTATTATTATTATTATTATTATTATTATTATTATTATTATTATTATTATTATTATTATTATTATTATTATTATTATTATTATTATTATTATTATTATTATTATTATTATTATTATTATTATTATTATTATTATTATTATTATTATTATTATTATTATTATTATTATTATTATTATTATTATTATTATTATTATTATTATTATTATTATTATTATTATTATTATTATTATTATTATTATTATTATTATTATTATTATTATTATTATTATTATTATTATTATTATTATTATTATTATTATTATTATTATTATTATTATTATTATTATTATTATTATTATTATTATTATTATTATTATTATTATTATTATTATTATTATTATTATTATTATTATTATTATTATTATTATTATTATTATTATTATTATTATTATTATTATTATTATTATTATTATTATTATTATTATTATTATTATTATTATTATTATTATTATTATTATTATTATTATTATTATTATTATTATTATTATTATTATTATTATTATTATTATTATTATTATTATTATTATTATTATTATTATTATTATTATTATTATTATTATTATTATTATTATTATTATTATTATTATTATTATTATTATTATTATTATTATTATTATTATTATTATTATTATTATTATTATTATTATTATTATTATTATTATTATTATTATTATTATTATTATTATTATTATTATTATTATTATTATTATTATTATTATTATTATTATTATTATTATTATTATTATTATTATTATTATTATTATTATTATTATTATTATTATTATTATTATTATTATTATTATTATTATTATTATTATTATTATTATTATTATTATTATTATTATTATTATTATTATTATTATTATTATTATTATTATTATTATTATTATTATTATTATTATTATTATTATTATTATTATTATTATTATTATTATTATTATTATTATTATTATTATTATTATTATTATTATTATTATTATTATTATTATTATTATTATTATTATTATTATTATTATTATTATTATTATTATTATTATTATTATTATTATTATTATTATTATTATTATTATTATTATTATTATTATTATTATTATTATTATTATTATTATTATTATTATTATTATTATTATTATTATTATTATTATTATTATTATTATTATTATTATTATTATTATTATTATTATTATTATTATTATTATTATTATTATTATTATTATTATTATTATTATTATTATTATTATTATTATTATTATTATTATTATTATTATTATTATTATTATTATTATTATTATTATTATTATTATTATTATTATTATTATTATTATTATTATTATTATTATTATTATTATTATTATTATTATTATTATTATTATTATTATTATTATTATTATTATATGGTTATTATTATTATTATATGGTTATTATTACTATTATTACTATTACTATTACTATTATTACTATTACTATTATTACTATTATTACTATTATTATTATTATTATTATTATTATATTTTGATCTGATCTGATCTAGTATAGGCATGAAATCAATCTAATTAAAAACATCCTAAGATGTAAACATACAAAGATTTCCTAATCTGGATTAGGAATCTATTTCAAAAGTGATGTCATATTTAAATTGTAGTTGTAAAAATAAACAAATGGAATAAAAAGTACTCCGTATAAAAATAATCAAATAATTTTTACTCCATGCTTATAAAAAGTAGTACTCCGTATAAAAGTTGTGGATTAATAATTATTAATTTTTGTGGTTCCACTTAATGAATTTAATAATTATGAAATACAGAGTATGTAATATATAGGTTTTGATAAAGTTAGTTACCAAATAAGGTGGATTTTTATCATAAAATCTTTTGTTTTCATATCAATATTAAATCAAAAATAGAATCTAATAAAATAAATAAAAGGTACGTATTAAAAAGTACCTAGATTGATTTATGTGGCAGGGTTAAATGGAGAAATCTATTTAAAAAATACTTATATATGATGGAGTATTAGAAAGGTACGTATTAAATGGAGTATTAAAAAAACTAAATACTAATTGTCATATATGATGGATGACATGACAGGATTAGGTGGCGCTTTGTATGCTCTTAAAAAGTTCCTCTTATATATTGATTTAGTATATGGCCCAGGAACCCCCGGCTCATAGACTCCTACTTCTCATACACAAGCCCATTGAGCCCAGGGAGCATCTCAGGCCCAAATGATGCGGCCCAAGCCTCAAAGGAGCCCAGAACACACGCTGGGGTGCCTCCGGCCTCCTTGGCTGAAGGCTCCAAATTACACAGGGCAGTCAGTTTTGAACATAAGGAGCCACTGGGAGAAAACGGCGCAAAGTAGTAGCCCTCGGCTATCAGGAGCCTTCGGCACACAAGATGCCCTCTGCATCAGGGTGGTCTTCGACATTCACATGCCTTCGGCTACATAGAGCCCTCGGCACAAGGGGAAGCCTTCGGCCAACTACTCAATCATCGAAGATTCCTTTTGGAGACAGCCAACCACCGCATTTAATGCGACGTCACATCCACCCACCGCATTCAATGTGGTGAACGTACCACGGCCAGTGCCACCCGATTGATGTGACCCCTCGGCCGCTAGATTATTGACACGTGTACTCTCATCGCATTTATTGCTGCTATAAATAGCAGCCCATTTCTCCTTGTAAACGATCCCAGATCCAACTCTCACACGCTGAGTTCATTTAATAAAACCGACTCTCTCTCCTCCTATTTTGCTCTGACTTCTCTCTAGTTATTTCCGCAATAACCTCTCGGATAAGATACCCCCGATAGACTATCCATCATATATGACTGGACTGGTTATGATTATGATGTAAGGATGTATTCAACTAGACTGGTTTCAGTTTCAATTAGATCAGACCTCATGATTAAAAAATAAGACTATATCAAAACAGTTGTAAACTACATATAGAATTGACATTTATCATGTTAGATCAAATCAGATTAGATTTTGATAGTTGTTAAAATACACATATAACAGACATTTATCAAATCAATGCAGACTACACCAGATCAAACTTAAACACTCCAAACCTGACAAAATATATCAATCTAATCTAATTAAAAACATTTAGATTTAAAACTGTTAGCACTTAGCAGGCCCGCCAGGCCTTACGCGTATCTTTTTTGCTTGCATCATTCGGTTCCATAATTCCATGCCCCAAGCCCTAAGGTTATCAATTCCCCTTCCTTTTCCTTTTTTAAAAGAATAAATAGTCTGATTCAGATTTATTCAAAGGGGGGATAACATAGATTCTAAAAAGATATTTTGTGAGTTTTTTTAGTAACGGTTAGTTTTTAGGGACTGAAAAAATCTTAAAAAGAAAAGGTGGCAGTTGTTTGGTAAAAAGTTGTCTGTTTGATTTAGTTCAATTTGATATACAAGCTGTTAGGACTAATTAATACTAAAAGTCACGAGCTTTTCTCAGATGCTACTCCCAGTAGCATCTCAAAAAAGATCTTTTAATCTTTAAAAAACTCATAAAAATTGTCATTCCAAACATACAACTAGAATTTTTGAACAATATAAAAACTAGAAGCACAGTATGCCAAACATGCACTTACATATAGTGAACACAATTCATGCTTAGAATTTG